TCTATCAAAAAATAGAAAGATCTCGCTAATTTTGCGAGGTCAGGTTCCCTTGTGAACGTTTGGTTGCGAATAAACGTCGTTCAGCGGTCCATACAATAGCTGATCACTTGTAGTATCGGTAAGCATTCATACTAAGCCACCTTCCCTGTTATGTGCATATATTACATTTTATTATCGTCTCGTAATCGCAGGCGAAGGCCAGACATCAAACTGATTTTCAATGACTTCTAAATATGCAATTACAGATGAGTAACCGAAACATTTGTGGTATGTGGGCAGAACTTTCCAGAGCGAACCTTCCGCCAGTGAAACGTATTCTGGGCTGAATTTCCGGGGGCAAGTCTTCTAGAAGCGAAATTCCTGGGGTGAACAGCAGACTTATTGGCCGTACCACAATCGCCCCCTCCCCTTCCTGTCATACCAGCCCTCTGCAATAATAAACCAGTATGATCAAACGACTAGGCCATTAGATTTGATATGGTTGGAAGGATTCGCAGCTGCCTCGGGTNTTTCTATCGAACCCTTCCGAAATTTTTCGCATGAGAAAAACGCCGCGATGTTTTCGGTTTCTTCGTAGTCCCTTAACTCTCAGCTCCTACTGATCATCGAGAAAACAAACAACTGCCACTGCATTGACACTTTTCGTCAATGCTTACAAAGGATTTCTGAAAGTCAAATGGAGAAGGTGGTGACCCTCAGATACTCAACTAATGATATGCTTCATTAGACGTAAACTTGCTCCATTTCAAAAAGTATGAAAGGATTTTTTTGGACGCATTTATGATTTTCACCGAAAATCTAAGTGATAGCAATCATGCAGTCATCAGCATGTGCCGAATATCTCAAGCGAATTTTGCTTGCTTTGGCTCCCTTCCCTGTGAAGTTCAGTGTGAAGAATAAGAATACAAATCACGAGACACCCACCACTATGAACAATCCAGAATGCTGCTTAGGGACGTAATGATTAGGATTTGCAAAATCCCCGGGTTTTTCAATCCCGGGATCGGGATTTAATCCCAGGATCGATTTTTGATCCCGGGATCGAACA